GATATGCGTAGCAAATCCACCTGGCGGAGTCAGGTTAATGTCTTGCAGCCCTTTATGGAAGAATGTAAACCGAATATTAATGCAGAGACCTCCCACTTCTAACCAGACCTCTGGATTATTTAATCCAGCCTGCAGTAAATATTTCTACTCTGAGCCTGTTGGAGTCACCGTGTTCCTCTTTCAGGACCTGAAGCAGCCCTACCAGGGCCAGGAGCAGCTGGGGGCCGTGGTGGAGTCCTGGCCCTGGTTCCACATCATGGATGAAGCCATGCAGGGCCGCCTGTTTAACAGCAGCCTGGTTCTGTGTCCGGACAGTCCCGGCAGCGCAGCCCAACACCCCGACTGTCAGCCCTGTCAGAACCAGGAGAACACGGACATCCTGGAGTTCCTCATCAAGACGGAGATGGATGAGACGGTGGCAGGAGAGCCGGAGGGGGAAGACGAGCCGGTGAACGAGCCCCCGCCCTGCGGAGGCATCCCCATGGGATGGAGGAGGATTACGGAGTGCACGTACAAAAGTAGGTGGTCCTACCTGAAACCAGAGGGTGCTTCCTGATCTTCCCTCTGTCTGTGTCCCTGCTGGCCTGAAATGACCCCTGTTGTGTTCCACAGTGAGCGAGGCAGAGACGGAGCAGATGATCAAACTGCGGGCTGCGAACGAAGGCCTGTTCACAGGCAGGAAGCACTCGGCCAAACCAGCCTGGAGGTGAGGCTCCCTTCAGAAACCATCAGAGGAGACGATGTGAACCATTTCAGCAGCTCTTCACAGTTTAAACTCATCTGAGTTCAGCAGAAGTTCAAGGAGATCAGAGGAAGTTTTTATTCTTTGGGTAAATCAGAAGGACTTCACCTGAATATTTGAATATATATTAGAGATCAGGCTTGGTCTGCAGATACTGAGATCTTTTTTTCAAAAGAAGCAATAAATCAAGCAACTTTTTCTGCATTGTTAGAGAATCAAATTTAAATACTTTATTTGGCGACTATGCCCTTTGCCCTCCAGTCTGAGGAGCTCGTCATGCAGCAGCCGGCAGCTCCTGCAGTCACTCTCTGTTTCTACACTGAAAATGAGTCAAAGAGGCACAAAGCTTCCTCTGATCCTCCTCAAATAACAAGCAGGATGTTACTCTACCTGAGAATCAGAAAATGTTCTGATGGGGGGGGATGCAGAAATCTATTAGATCTTAAGGGTTGATGAGTTTTGATTACTTTTATTATAAGAAAAGTGGATTTCTGATGCTTAAAGGAAAAGTCTGGTCAGCCAGGAATAATCAATGGATCCTTATTTATACCTAAAACTAATATGTTTGCAGCCATTTTTTCCCAAATATAGTAACGCCTCCCTCCTGTCATCTTCCAGCAGTGACGTCACGGTGCGGTAAGCCTAGCGACATTCTCCCTGCTTTACAAGCTAAATCACTGGGAACTACTAGACACATCTAACAACAAAATTTATTGAAGATTTCAAGAGAACTTCACCATTGAAATTCACCAGAGCTATAGTGAAACTGACAATGTCCGCCTGCATGGCAGTTGGAATACAATGGGTAAAAGTGGGTAGCACTGGGTAGCACTACTGCTTTGCAGCAAGAAGGTTCTGGGTTTGATTCCCTGCCCAAGGTCTTTCTGCATGTAGTTTGCCTGTTCTCCCTGTGCATGCGTGGGTACTCTCCGGGTACTCTGGCTTCCTCCCACAGTCCAGGTCAGGTTAATTTGGCTCCTCTAAATTCTCCTTAGGTGTGAGTGTGTGCGTGAATGGTTGTTTGTTCTGTGATGCCCTGTTGACCTGCGATGGACTGGCAACCTGTCCAGGGTGTTCCCCGCCTCTCGCCCGCACACAGCTGGAGATGGGCACCAGCACCGACCCTCGCTTGGGATAAACTTGACAGAGAATGGATTTGGCCAACATTGGAAAGAAGAATGTTTTTTAAGATGACTTGTATAATAGCGAGTTGTGACAAACACCAGATCAGCATTGGGACTTTCTCACACACCGTGACCTCACAAACCTGTAGGTGGCAGTAGTGTTCTCTGAGAAACATGGATGCCTCCTGTACATTCAAATAAAAATTACTCTTAATGAAAAAAACTCATTGTTTATTGAACAGTATGTTATAATTTTATAATGAAAGTAATTATAGAGTGAATTCTGAATATGAGCGGACTTTTCCTTTAAACACGGGTCAGAACTGAGGTCAGGTCTGCTGACCACAGCTC